TCAATTCATTTTCAAAACTAAGCTAATAATCTTTATGAGGTGGTTAGAATTATTTATGTAGGAAAAAGTCTGTGAACTTTACTAAACACAATTTCATAAGCAAAATATCCAATATTAAAAATTCCAAAATCTCACCATGTTTTTGGAATCATACCATGATAATTTTTAAATAAGAACTGAGTATCAATAATAAGTCTGAATACAAGTTGGAATTCAGAGAGCTCAATTTTAATGTGACACGTACAGACTTAAGTTAGTTTCAATTTTAGATAAAGAGTATTCTCTACTATAAGTGTTTCTAATTTACAAATAAAATTATGGGTCTCTTTTCTAGCATAGGTCTTATCTCAGTTTTTATATGATGGATATTTTTATTTTCATGGTTTTTTTCATCCTTTTATTTAACTTATTTTTACAATTGAAATATAGTTGACATACACTATTATGTTAGTTTCAGGTGTACAACATAATGATTTAACATTTATATACAAAATGCTCATCATGATAAGTGTAGTTACATCTGTCACTGTAAAGTTATTACAATATAATTTACTATATTCTCTATGCTATACTTTTAACCTGTAACTTATTTATTTTGTAATTGGAAACTGGTACCTCTTAATCCTTTTCACTTATTTCCCACCCCTTCCAATCCTCTCCCCTCTCACAACCACCAGTTATTCTCTGTAGTTATGAGTAATAAATAAGATTAATATTCTTAAATAAGATTAATAATCTTAGGCTTCCATGATGTCTGTAATCATGAATCCTCTCATTTTTTCCTGAATTTCAGATACAGGAAATATCTCTAGATACAAAAATCTACTTAGGACTTTAAAAAAAAAATCTACATCTAACTTTTTTTTTTAACTTGATTGACATATCAGCATTATAATTATGACTCTAACTTTCTGGACATGTTTAGTAGTATTTTTTTTAAGTTCAAAATAACCACAAAAATAGTTAGTTGATTTAAGAATAAGTAAACCTCTTAAATGGCTTTTATCAAGATAAATAGCTTATAGAATATGTTATATGATTTTAAGAAAACATTTAATCAGGATCAACAAAACATTGAATTTTTAAAATTCAGTGACTGAGAATGGACCAGGAGCTTCCAATTTGAGAAGAAAAAATATTCTGAGGTATTTATGAATTTCAGAACATCTACATGTGACATTTTTTTTTTCTATGTCTTAAAATTTTTAGAGTGAAAAAAAGCTTGTTGGTTAATTTAAATGCATTTTTAGGAATGGCAATGAGGCAGCTTTGATTGTTTGTCAAGTTGCAGTGTGAAAATTGATGGTATTCAAAGTATTTGTATATACATGTCCAAAAATTACAGGGCCACCACTTCCAGCAGCCTAATATAAATGAACTCTGTAATTTATGAAATAAGATGTTAATGAACCAAAAAATCATGTTTTCTTAGTTTACTTAGTTAATAATTTACCTTATACCAAAAAGAATTTTAGGCAATTTGAATAAAGTTAAATTAATAAAATGTTATTAAAATATTAATTAAAAATTTAAAAATTGAACAAAAAGTGCACTGAAAGAGATTATCACTCAATAGACACAAATATATGCAAACTTTTGATGTAAATGAGTTTGTCCACAAAGTCTGTCTCATTAACTCTTAATTAGCACTTATCATTAGAAAGTACTTCAACATTTAATGTGATTTTTACATGTAATAACTACTATTTTAAGCATACTTAAATTATAAAATGAAATTAAACTACTAAGATGTCTTCTGTAGTAAGCATAGTGTCATCACATATAAGAGTATGTGTACTAGAGATTCTTAGATAAATTTACCTTTTAAACCTATGAGCTAGCATTTCCCAAAATGTATTTTTGAGACTATTTCAGCATGGTATTAACAGATAATAGGTGGGAGGAGGGGAAATTTCTGTGATCAAATGATTATTTATTGTACAATTTTCAGGATCTTTTATGTACAAATTTGTACTGTAAATCTGAGAGAGAAGATTAAAAAAAACCTGCCTCTTTAACATTTTCACTTATTTTCCTTTTATAGAGTACGGCATAGGACGTCAGAGTGGAAAGAAAGTTTAGAAATCACATATTCCATTCCTCAACCAGATAGAGAACAGTTCCTCTCTACAAGCACTGATTCCTCTAAATTGTATTTCATTCCACCGGGGAAAGATGAAGTTTGGTTGAAACCAAAATAATAATATTGAAAATATTTCTAGGTTATTTTCCTTAGAGAAAAGGACCAGCAAAGAAAAATCAACTTGCTAGTGAAGAATTCTCCTGTGATGGATCTTTTTACCAATAGAGTGCTCTCCTCTCTAAGGATATTATACTTTGTGGAGTGTTTCTTTGTGAGAATAAGTTGATAAAAATGTAGAAAAGGAATGAAAGACTTCATCTGAGCCAAATAATTTTGGAGAAAGCCATGTCTGGTTACTGTTTGGCCTACGGATTGGCCTCCTAAGAGAATTTATATTTATAAGCTAAAAAGTATATGTAGCCACGTTTGCTACCTACATCTGTTAAGATGGTCCCTTGAAACTTCACTGGCTAAGGCACTAACCAAGAATTTTTCCATTTAGCAACCATGTCTAGATAATGATTGAGTCTGGAGATGAGTTTGAGATTGGAATTTAGTTGGTTATATTATCTAAACCAACTAAATATCTAAATTCTTATATCACTTTTTCTATTTACATCTTTGTTTGCTTATAACAAATACAGGTTAATATCTTTCTTAAACTCCCCACCCGCAACTGATCTGTTAAATAAATGATGTTCTGTAGACCTGATTCTACAAATCTTTAAACCATTACTAAGGAGGAAGGCTTTTTTGAGAAGAAATATTAAACTAGTATCCTTTAATGCAGGTGTCAGCAAACTATGGCCCACAGACCAAATCAGGCCTACTGCCTGTTTTGTAAATGAGATTTTTTTGGAAGACAGCTACCCTCATTTGGGCCTGCATTGTCTATAGTGCCTTCATGTTACAACGACAGAGCTGTGGCAGAGACCAAATGGTCAGCAAAACCTAAGATATTTCCTATCAGGCCCTTTACAGAAAAAGTTCACCAACGCCTGCCAGCATATCTCATTATTATCTAGTAATCAGAAAGAATTTAATGTAGCTTCGTAGAAGGTTGACGTCCAGAAAATAGTATGAATATTAGAAAATGCACATGTATGTATGTTTGTATGTGTATATGTATGTATGTGTATATATTTATTTATGTATATATAAAATGTGTTTAAACTTCTTTGTCTGTAGGTGCTATTCATGTTAAAATACTAGTTTGCTATGACATATAAAATGAAACTTTTAAAAATAAACTTCCTAAACACTAAATTTAGTAAATATTCTTTCAATAATTTTTTGATCCTGGGTTGGCTTTTTTGTACCCTTGTCCTTGGAGAAAATAAACATATTTGCCTGAGAATATCTCCTGAGGTACAAATCAATTGTACAATATTGGTACAAAAATTCCAAAATTGTATTTTAATAGACTAATAGCCATTTATACTTGACTATATTTCACATTCATATCATGGAGGCACTCATTTGATTTTCTGTATCATTAAATTTATATTAACATAATATTTATATTCTCCATTTTATAATTTGTCACAGAATCAATTAACCAAATCATTAAAAGGTGACTTTTAAGAGGAACAAATTGCCTCACTTTATTGAACAGGTGATTTAGGTTTGCTATTAGAATTAGAGGTCATATAATGTAAGCTCTTTATACATTCTTTTATTCAAAAATTTTTCACTCCTTGTTGAAACTGTCTCTTCCCATTTTTATCTTATTTTACTTAATCAACTTTTACTTAAAATTTGTTACTAACCAGAATTATCTGATATATAATGATTTTTTTTCAGGATGAGTATTAAAATCCCCATTTTTGAATAGGCACAATTTTGTCTAGGTACCAAAATTTTACTGCAGTTTTAATTATGATCTTAAGCACGGGGTGTGTATGTTTATATTTCTACCCACACCCAGTGCTTGTGTATTTACATGACAACATTTTATTATAGATAGCCATAGCCATTTTAGCCCACTAAGTTATGATTATTTTTCCTATTGTAGATTTGTAGTATACAATTGAGATTTTGTTTTTCCTTTATGCCTATTTATGAGTAATGGAATTTTACTATAAAATATCTCTAATAAAAATCACAAATATACTTTAAAAACACTTTCATGTTTGCAAAGATTTGCTAGAATTTAGTTCTTGTTCTATCCAAAGTTTTTGGGAACTTTTGATGTCTACAATTGATGTATTTCAAGGTAAATCTTGTTATAGAGAGCATTCATCTGATTTTTTAATAGGTTTACCATCTCATATTCTCACCTCCTGACGTCATTTTTGTTTTTCTGAAATGATTTCAGTAATACTTTTTGTCTTTACTGGCATGGTATGTTCTCAGGAGTATTATTCCAAGGGCCTTTTTCTTGATCCTGTTCTTGAAAATTCAAGGTCAAAGTATCTTGATAACTGCCCCCACATGTAAGCTTGGGCAACCTGTTCTAATACATGGGCTAATCTTATGATAATAGTTTCTAAATGCTACTGTAAAATTGCATTTGAAATCAATTAAAATTAACTTTTTTTTAGTAAATTAATTAAATCTTGGTTGAATTATAAGTCACAGGCTTATAATATTATCAAATAGAATATTATCAAATGTATGTGCTGGACATACATGTACCAGAAAGTGTTTTCTATCCAGTGAATATTTGTTTTTCTGTTGAAATTCATTTATGTTTTATTCAGATTAAAATAATTTTACCTATTTAGTAATCATGCTTTTATTCACCAAATTGCATTCTTTAAAGAAAACTAAGAAATAATATGATAGTTAATTTGTACATACTACCTTGAATGAAACTAATATATCAGCCTAGCATTTCTTCTTTTATACATCCTGTTAGTAGGACTCAGAAATAAGAACTGCACATTAATTTTATGGGTTTTTTTCTACTCGATAGGTGCTATGGATATAGAGGAGAGAAATCGCCAAATGAAAATTAACAAATACAAACAGGTAGCCGGATCAGATCCCAGACTGGAACAAGATTACCATTTGAAGGCAAGACATTTTTCTTTTTAAAAGTTGTAAAATAATCAATCATATGAAACCGTTAGATTCTCTTAAACTGCAGAGTACAGTTTAGTCAGACATAAACGTAGAAGGCAATGGCCCCATGATATTAAATGCCAAAATTTATAATGTGTTTATATACCAAGTTTTAGGGATAGAATTTATTTTATTTAAAAAATCATTATATAGGAGATTAAAGAAATGGAACTCATAAATTATCTGAAAAACAAATCTTAGAATTTTTCATTTTATAAAACCTATAAAGGCCCTAACACCTTCAAAAATGTTAAGGTATAACTTTTATTATCTTCTCATAGTTTTCCTACATACTTTTTTTACAATTTTATAGTACTTTAATAGAATCTGGTTTCTTAGTGAATTATTGGAGCGAAATACATACTCATGAGGTGTTGTAATGCATTCAAAAGGTTTTTAGTGAGAATCTTTTTCTAACTATTTTTGGGGAAAAAGTTGAGGTATGAGGTCTACCAAGGCAGACTCATGCTCTTAGTTACTTTTATATTTTCAAAACCTTTCTCGGTTCTTAGTATTATTCACACCCAAAGTCATGAAAAGACTTTGCTGATGTGCCATTTAAGATTTAACAAAAGGATGAAAATAGCAAAACTTACTCATAATATTTAGTTATTACGTGCTCTGTGTCTTAGTAATGTAATCATTGCGATCATGTAATATTGGTGGTCTGTGTATCTGTGTGTTAGAAAAAAGCAACTTGGATTTTTACAAACTCAGAACTATTGTGTCCTTATGTAAGTAAGGCCTAAATAACTTTGTTGGATATGCCTTATGTGGCGGTGGGCAGCACAGGTTTCTAGTTTCTCCATGATGCAACCTAGAGGAGGCAGAGACTCTTATATCAGCATCATCTTCCAAATCACCAGTCTCTTCTCCAAATGACATGAATACTGGCATGGTGAATACAGGATTATTCATCCAGATTCTGGTGTACAAAAATGGCATGGGCCCAAAGTCAGAGAAAGGTCAATTTAAGACAAATATTACTCAACAGGTCCTAAGTTTCTGAGAATTTTTTAAATGAAAATATGAACAACTTCAAATAGGTTCAGTGAATTTCATAGAATATAATTCTTTGGTGATAAAATATTTCAGATGTATCCTTAACCTTTTGAGCTTCATGTCAGAAATAGTATCTGTGCTTTCCCAGGTACTCTTTGATATTTCTGCCTAGGGCTAAATAGATATACCTGATCTCTGGTGGCATCTGTTATGCTCTCATATCTCATTTGCTCATTTTATATAATCCAGAGACCAAGGCATGAAGTCCTAATAAGATAGGATATTAGAACTTCTGCAAGCATGTCTCCAGATTACACAGATTAGTTTTGTTTATATCCCACTTCAGAAAGAAATGTTGATGATTTTTAAAAATACATGTAATACTCTCAGTAATATTGTCTATGAAGAAATGGGTATCAAGGAAAAGTGAAATTAAGATAAAACAGAGAAACAGCAGAAGTAAATCTGTGAACAAAGTGCATAGTGTGAGATCCTGTACACCTGCTGCATGTGGGGTGGCGGGTGTATCTGCATGACTGTGAGCATCCTATCGGGCAGCAACGGCAAAGAGAGAACCTGGGTCAGTTGTTTGACTTACTTTGTTCGTACAATTAAAACAGGTTCCTTATGAGCAATACCAATGATTCTTGTTGGGATAACTAACAGAAAATTATTACAGGAGGATGGGCCACAGGAATACTATAAGCATGGCTTAAAATTTCTTTTTCAGAATAACAAGTTATGACTGCATTCCAATGCGTAAATGAATGAATGCTTGAGCCTTCAAAGTTTCATAATGTTGACACCAATTATTTTAGGTTAGAAAAAATTTAAGTATTGGCAAAGGACTAATTACTAAGGAGTCTAATTTCCTAGGTGCTCTCTAAGGCAGTGGTTTTGAAAGTGTAGCCCAAGACCAATAACATCAACACGTCTAAAGACTTTTAGAAATGCAGTTCTCTGGCCTCCCTCCAGACCTGCTTAACCAAAACTCTGGGGATGGGGTCTCTGTATTTTAACATCACAGGTGATTCTGATGTGATCTGAAGTTTGAGATCAGTCTTCTGCTCTAAGGGGAACTCTTGTAAAACTTACTTCCAGGTTAACTGTAGACTTCCTCTATTAGGGTTTTGGCTAGAAGCCAGTGATGAATGATGTCAGTAAAAAATGGAGACTTGTTTTGAGGATAGATGATCTGACACCTTTACAAGGCCTCTCATAGTTTATAACAAATCCTATCACTTGAATATAGAATACTGTCATTATGTTTTCTATTGCTGGATTTATGCATTTAGCTTAACCAAAACTGTAATTAAATCATTAAGGTACAACTTTTAAAAAGGTCCAAAACACAACTCTGTTTTGTTCCGCTACTAATTATTTCCTGATGTGAAACTTCCTTTACTGGGTCATCTCTCTCTCTCCCCATCATCCCTAGTTTAATCTCTCTCTCTCTCATGGATCGAAAAGAAATTACAGAGGATTCTTTTTTAGTTCTGGGCATATATTGATTTAGTTATTAATTTCCACACTAACAGTTCCTCAAGTTAAAATTTTCAACAGCATCCCTTTCTTTTTTTTTTTTTTTT